TAGAGTCTGAAATTAAATACAAAGTGTTATTTACCTTACTTAGAACCCCCCAAAATGAGATACTTAGGTATAAGTCTAACATTATATATAGGATATATATGAGGAAAATGACAAAATTCTGGTGAAAGAAATCAAAGAGCTAAACAAATTGAGAGATCCTCCATGTTCATGGAGAGGAAAATTCAAGATTGTCGAGATTTCAATTCTTCCCAAATTGATGTATAGATTCAGTGCAATCTCAGTCAAACCCCCAGCAGTTTACTTTTGGATATCAATAAACTTTTTCTAAAGTTTATCTGAAGATGCAAAAGACCTAGAATAGCCAACACGATACTGAAGAAGAACAAAGTTGGAGGAATGACACTACCCAACTTTAATGATTGCTATACTTTTATTCCAACTCTGCATTAAACTAAAAAAAAAGATTGCTTTATAGCTCCAGTAATGAAGACAATGTGGTTTTGGCAAAAGAATGGATAAATAGATCAGTAGAAAAGAATAGAAACTCCAAAAATAGGCCCACGTAAATACAGTCCACTGAACTTTGACAAAGGAGTTAGAGCAATACAATGTAGTCAGGGGACTCTTTTCAAAAAAACCGGGTTGGAACAACTGGACATCCTCATGTAAAAAGATGAATCTAGGCACAGATCTGGCATCCTTAGCAAAAATGTAGCTCTGAATGGATCATAGACCTATTTATAAAATGCAAAACTATGAAACTTGTAGAAGATAACAAAGACCTAGGTGACCTTGAGTTTGGCAAAGACTTTTTAGACATAGCTCCAGAGGCATGATTCATTGAAGAAATCATCAACAAGCTGAACTTCATTAAAAATAAAAACCTGTGCTCTGTGAAAGTCAGTGTCGAGGGAACAAGAAGAGAGAGAAAATATTTGCAAACAACACATCTGCTAAAGGACTATTATCCAAAATACACAAAGAACTCAAAATTCAACAACAACAAGTTTTAAAATGGGCCAAAGCCTTAAACACCCCACCGAAGATACACATGTGGCAAATAAGCACATGAAAACTCCACCTCAAATGTCATTAGGGAAATGCAAACTAAATTAACAGTCAGATGCTTTTACATACCTATTAGAAAGGCAAAAATCCAGAAACTGACAACACTGAAGACTGGCAAGGATGGGATGCAACAGGACCTCTCATTCACTGCTGATGGGAATGAAAAATGCTATAACCATTCTGGAAGACAGGCAGCTTTTAACAAAACTAAACATACTCTTCCTGTATCATCCAGCAATCCTGCTCCTTGGTATTTACCCAAAGGAGCTAAAACTTATGTCCACACAAAAACTTGTACATGGATGTTTATATTAATAGAAGTTTTATTCATAATTGCCAAAACTTGGAAGCATCCTTTAGTAGGTGAGAAGATAAACTGTAGTATATTCAGACAATGGAATACTACTCAGTGCTAAAAAGAAGTAAGCTGTCAAGCCACAGAAAGATATAGGAGAAACTTAAATGAATATTACTATGTGAAAGATGCCCATCTGGAAAGGCCACTTAGTGTATGATTCTGACTATATGACATTCTAGAAAAGGCAAAACTATGGTGATGATAACAGGATCAGTGGTTGCCTGGGAATTTGGCAGGTGATGGGGTGATGAATGGGCAGAGCACACTGGAATTTCAGAGCAGTGGAAATATTCTGTATGAGAATATAATGGTGGATTTGTGTCATACATTTATCCAAATGCAGAGTGTACAACATTATGAGTGGACCCTAATGTAAACAGTAGATTTGGGGTGATTATGATGTATCAGTGTCGGGCCCTCAGTTACAACAAATGCACCATTCTGGTGAGGGATGTTGATGACAGGGGAACTTAGGCATCTGTGGGGACCAAGGGGATTTGAGAAATCTTTGCACCTTTCTCTCAATTTTGCTATAAACCTAAAACTTCCTTCCAAAAATAAAGTCTTTAAAAAAAAAAAAAAGGATCCATGTAGGAAAGGAATAAGTAAAACTGTCTTTATTCACTGATAAAATGATCATCTAAGCAGAAATTCTAAGGAATACTATTAAAAAACTATTAGAATTAAAAGAAAGTTTCACAAGGTTATAGGATACAAGGTCAAAACAAAAATCAATTCCATTTCTAAGGAAAAAAATAACATTTGGAAATTGAAATTTTATAACAAAACCATTCCAATAACATGTAAAACATGTAATACTTAGGGATAAACTTAAAATACATAAAGGGTCTGTTGTCTTAGTTTAGGTAGCTATGCAAAAATATCATAGAGTATGTGGCTTAAAAGACAGAAATTTATTTCTCACAATTTTGGAGGCTGTAAAGTCTAAGATGAGGGTACCAGCATGGCTGGTTCTGGTGAGGCCGCTTCCTGGGCTGCAGACAGCCATCTTCTTATTTCTTTGTGTGGGAGAGATGCCTTTTTACTCAGCATCTTCAAGGCCACTGCTACCCTCATGAGGGCTTCACACTCATGACCTAATTACCTCCCAAAGGCCCCATCTCCAATTATCATCTCATTAGGGATTGGGGTTGCAACATATGAATTTTTGGAGGACACATTCTGTCCATGGCACTTGTCCTGTGAAAACTATAAAACATTACTGCAAGAAACTGGAGAAGAGTTAAGTAAATGGGAAGAAATACCATATTCAGGCACAATGCGATTAAGGATAAGATGTCACATCTCCCTACATTGGTCTATTGGTTCATCACCATCCCTGTCAAAATTCCATCAGGCTTTTTAAAAATAGAAATTGACAAGGTGCTTTTAAAATTTACATGGAAATGCAAAGTACCTAGTAAAGACCAGATAATTTTGAAAAAGAACTAAGTTTGAGGACACATACTGCCTCATTTTCAGACTTGTTATAAAGCTACAATAATAAATACTGTATTATAGTGGTATAATAGTAGACATAAATCAACGAGACATAATAGAGTATTGAAATAGACCTACACATATTTGGTCAATTGGTATTTAAGAAAGTTTCTGTGGGCTCGGTGCCTGTAGCTCAAGCAGTTAGGGTGCCAGCCACATACACCAGAGCTGGCCAGTTCAAATCCAGCCTGGGCCTGCCAAACAATGATGACAACTATAACCAAAGAATAGCCAGGCGTTGTGGCAGGCACCTGTAGTCCCAGCTACTTGGGAGGCTGAGGCAAGAGAATCACTTAAGCCCAATAGTTGGAGGTTGGTGTGAGCTATGACGCCAGGGCACTCTACTGAGGGTGACGCAGTGAGACTCTGTCTCAAAAAAAAAAAAAAAAGAAAAGAAAAAAAGAAAGAAAGTTTCTGTGATAATTCAATAGGAAGAGTTTTTTCCAGTAAATGTTGCTGGAATAATTGTATATCCATGTACAAAAACAAAAAGAAATAAAGAACAACTTCATGCTACGTAGAAAAAATTAATATGAAATAAGGATCTAAATATAACAGTTAAAATGATACAAGTTCTAAAAGAAAATATGAGAAAAAATCATGTGACCTTGAAATCAGCAAATATTTCTCTTTTTTTATTTCAAGATATTACGGGGTTGCAAATGTTTTGGTTGCATGTACT